TGATCCTATCTGCTCTCGCTTAAGCAAGACTGATCTCGCTTGAGCGAGAACACTCCAAGATTCCTAATTCTGCACAACAACTTCTCGCTTGAGTGAGATTACTCTCACTTGAGCAAAACACCCTGCATCCAAAACTCTCAATCTCCCTCTCAAACGGAATTATACTGGTTCTCAATTATACTTCCTAGCTTATTTCATGTACAACACACTTAACAACCAATTTCTAGCCGTTTTGCTTATCACAATCGACAGCATCATAATACATCATACAAACTATATACAACTTGTCATACTACAATCATACAGCTTTCACGCCCACATTCCAATATATATATATATAATTCATACACTTTAAACATACTCAGCACAATTCGATTGGAATGATAAATACATCAATCTGATAATTCTCCCCCTGAAAGTAAATTTTTGTCCTCAAAAATTCATTCATCATCAAAGAGATGATGATATTTCTTTCTCATTTGATCCTCCAGCTCCCATGTAGCATCACCAGTAGGATCCAAACGACTTTCACTAATCGAATTGACTTGCCTTTGAGTTCCTTAACTTTACTGTCTTCAATACGTGTAGCTGGAAGTTCAACCAATAAGTTATCTCATATCTGCACAGTATCTGGCTCTATCACATGGTTTGGATTTGGAACATACTTTCTCAGCTGTGATACATGAAAAACATTATGCAGCCCTGCTAATTGAGGCGGTAATGCCAATTCATATGCTACAGGTCCTCTATGATGCAATATCTGATACGCCTCAATAAATTTAAGCGTCAGCTTCTTTGCTTTCAAAGCTCGTCCTACACCCGTACTTCTTGATACTTTCAAAAACACATGATCACTCGCCTCAAACTCCAAAGGTCTGTAGCGTTGATTAGTATATGACTTTTGACGACTCTGAGTTGCTCTTAGTTTATTTTGAATCAGCTTAACTTGTTTCATAGTTTTCTGAAGCATCTCAGGTCCAACCATCAAGTTCACTCCATCTTGGAACCAACAAATGGGAGTTCAACATTTTTTGCCATATAAAGCTTCAAAAGGTGCCATGTCGATGCTTGATTGATAACTATTATTGTAGGTAAATTCTACAAGAGGAAGCATGTCCTCCAAATCACCCTTCTAATCGATAACACAAGCACGCAACAAATCTTCTAATGTTTGAATGGTTCGCTCTGACTGACCATCAGTTTGAGGGTGATATGTTGAACTCAGTTTCATCTGGGTAGCCAAAGCATCTTGAAAACTTTGCCAGAATTGAGAAGTGAAGTGGGGATCTCTATCAGAGATAATACTAGAAGGCACCTCATGTATCCTAACAATCTCCTTGACATACAACTTAGCAAGTCTCTCCATAGAATAGGTCATATTAACTGGTAGAAAATGAGCACACTTAGTCAATCAATCAACTATGACCAATACAACATTATATGTTTCTAACAGTCTTTGGCAAATGGGATACAAAATCCATAGTTACACCATCCTATTTCCATTCAGGGATCTCTATGATCTATAATTCTCCAGGCAGACAACGGTGTTGTACTTTTGCCTTTTGACAAGTCAAACAGGCCTTGACAAATTTGGCTATTTCATCTCTCATGCCTGGCCACCAAAACATCAACAAATTTGGCTATTTCAGCTTTCATGCCTGGCTACCAAAACATCCGCTTCAAGTCTTAGTACATTTTTGTTACTCCAAGGTGGAGATTTAGACTGCTCTCGTGTCCTTTCTTTAAAATTTTCCTCCTCAACTCAGCTCCCCTAGGGATACAAACTCAGTCATGATATCAAAGAATACCATCAGCACCTCGATTAAAGCCAATTGTACGATCTATGCCTAAAAGAAATACAATTCGGCATAATCTAGCATCCCACAACTGTTTATCCTTAACCTCTTGTAGGAATTCATTAGTCACTATCAGCTTGCCACAACTGATCTTTCCAGGTACTATCTCCATGTATAAGTTCAAATTTTCAAATTGTTCTATCAAAAGAGACTCACTAACTTTTAGTGAGAAAGTCTGAACCACACTTATGCTCAAAGCATTTGCTACTACATTAGCTTTGCCTGGATGGTATTGAAGTTGAAACTCATAATCCTTGAACTTCCCTCATATTTTGGACGTCAAAACAAGCTTGAAATCCTAGTTATAGAAGGCAGTGACATTAAGATCTTGCCTTCATGCATCAAGAATCTTACAAGACTACAATATCTTGATGCACGTAGTTGTTCAGAGCTTCAGATTCTACCAGAGCTTCCTCCATCTCTTGAAACTCTGTATACTTGTGATTGTAGATCACTGAAGACTCTATTGTTCCCTCCAACAGCTTCTAAACAGCTCAAGGAAAACAGGAAAAGCGTTCTATTCTGCAATTGCTTGAAATTGGACGAATAGTCTCTCTCAGCTATTGGATTAAATGCGCAAATCAACTTGATGAAATTTGCATACCAACATTTATCTGTCTTAGAAAATGATCAGATTGAAAATTATGACAACTACAATTATAGTTATAATTATAATCACCCAGTATATATGTATCCAGGGAGCAGCATTCCTGAGTGGTTGGCATACAAGACAATGAAGGAGGATTATATAATAATTGATCTCTCTTCTGCTCCTCCTTCTCTGTTTGGCTTCATTTTCTGCTTTATCATTGACAAGGACAAAGAGATAAAGGATCATACATTGAAGCTTAAAATCACTACTAGTGATGGTGAGAATGAAAGCAATGAGGGAAATATCGAAATAGACATTTTTCTGCCTTCCCAGGATATTGTGTCAGATCATTTGTGTGTGGTGTACGACAAAAGATGTTCTTGCTACCTCAATAACAAGGCGAAAAGTATTCCAAAGTTTCAAATAAAGCGCACAGTATGGGCTACAAGCTGGTTTATGAAAGATGACATGCTTAATAAAGACATAAGCAGGTATATAGAAGTTATGTGTCCTAAGTGGTTGGAGTTAAAAGGGTTTGGGGTCAGCCCAATAAATACCTAATCATGTAACAACTTCATTCAACAAATGAAATTGCCTGACTAAATATCTCAATTTCGTTTGATAAAGGGGGTGCTGAGTTGTGCTTTCCATCTTTCTATGTATTTCCTTTTGTGCTCAATGATGAAGATTTTGATTTGGAAAAAGCTCTATTCTTCCATGTAATAAGAACTAAAATTTGTTACAACATTCAAATTATCAACATAAGTTCTCATAATTTATTATGGTCCTACTAAGAGCTTAAACATGTTATAAGCAACAAATTCTCCAGATATACTATTATTCAATCATACTCATAATCATGATGATGTATTTTTTCACGAAACTATCACATTATTATTGTTTGTCAACATTTGAGATGTATATTCTTAGAGTTATGGTCTCATGTTGGTATTATCAAGAGTTTTCAGAGAAATACCAAAGCAAGAGACTCCTTCTTTTGATGTATAACTTTCTACTCCAGTATCACCACTTTCTGCAATCTTAAATTTATCTATGTATTTGTTAGGATAACATTAAAACACATTAACAAATCTATTTGCAACCTAACAACTCTTCACTAGTTGTCTCCTTTCTGTTTTCAAGCATTTGTCCTTATATAATTTTCAAATTTATATATCCACAAATATATTGAAACATTCACAGAGCAGATTTTGCTAGATATCCCACTCACTATTTTTTTTTTCTCTCTCTACTCTCTTGCTGGACATAAAGCATGTAAAAGCTCTAACAATTGGAGATTGGTGCCCATCCTCCAGAAGATCAATAAGGACAACAGTAAAATTTTAGAATAGGTACAACTACCTAGAGGACAAAATGAGAGGGAATAATTCTATTGGATGGCTTGCATGCTGCAACAAACCCAAGTTTTTGCCTTGTTTTTTGTTCTTTTTGGGAATGTGTGTGTCAGGAGACACGTATAAGTGTTTCAGTTTTGGTATAAATATTTATGTAAATATATGTTGTATGCACTCTCCTAGTCTCCTCCTATAAGACGAGTTTTAGAAGATAGATGGTGTTATTGTAAGGAATACCAAATCCGTGGAAGTCTTGGAAATGTAACAAATGTTTATTTTGAATGAGACAAAAAGGAAATAGAAAATTCTTGCAACTTGATGTGCTTTATGTTTATAATATGCATATGAGCCCATAGTTTCTTGGAAATATCAATTTTGTTTTCCTTTCAATATCATCGAGTCTAATTACGACTAATTCTAATTTTATTTCAAGAGTTAGTCTTAAAGGCAAAGGGTCATTGGGCACCTGCTCCAACACACGAAATATAAAAATGTTTTAATGGAGAGATTAAAATCTAGCAATGCAATGGAGAAATAAAAGGCCAAATATTGACAAGTTTTCTAACCACCAGAAATTACAATTCTACCGAATCGAATTTTTATTTCAATGTACATTCCGTCTTTCACACTAGGAAACTACATTTCACATGATTCGCAAATGATTCCACGCCATATAGTGCTTGGGGTATTCACATTTCCTTTGATTATGCACTTGCTGTCATTATTTTATATTTATACAGAGGTCAAGTTAATATTAGTTAAATATTAATATAATATAATATATATAAACCGTATGCTCGGTGGTTAAGTGTGAATGTGAGTTGAGTTCACACTTTTAGACTGTAATGTCAAATGAGATTGCTTTTATTTCTATCAACTGGTCAAATAACTATGATGTTGCCCCAACATACATGAGCAAGAGTTGAAGATGACTCTGATCCCTAACCAGCCAAAGCTTCAAATCGGTAAAATCATTGGAGGTCAGTAATTAATTGCTTTACAATGATATTCATTAGTCATTCATTTCTGTCCATAGATAAGGTTCAGAATAAGGAAATGAAGAATTAAAATAACATAAGATCTGACCAAGTTGAAAATTTGCTCGCTTACTTACAGCACAGATTTTATAATCTCTTTTTGGATAAACAAAGATAAATAATTTGAAGTACAAGAGTACTTCAATTGATTGTGATCTCTGAAGCACGAGTACTCCATTCTTGCCAGAGTACCGGTACGTACTGGTATGTACCCAACAAATTTTGCAAACAAAAAAAAACGGGTATGTTGGTGGATATGTGGAGTACGTTAATGGGTATAGAAAAGGGAAAATTTTTTGCCAAAACCAGTGAAGGATAGGTTTTATTTTGGGCCTAAAATCAACCTGACTTTCTCCCAATTTTTGCAGTTTACCCTCCACTTTCAGCCTCCAAACCGTGCTTCCCAACTTCTGCAAAACTCCTCCCGTCCTCCATCAATCTTCCAACCTCAAGCACCTCTGTCATCCTCAACCTGCAGCAACTATTCAATCTAGCGTCCAGCGTACAGCAGCCAACGCATCCAGTAGCTGCAGCTGCAGCGGCCAACGTTCGGCGTCTAGCACCCAGCAACGGCGGCGACATCCAGGGCAGCGTCCAGCAGCGGCGGCGGCTTCCAGCAGCGGCGGCAGCGTCCAGCGTTCGACATCCAGCGTCCAGTAGCAGTAGCGGTGTCCAGCGTCCAAACCCCTTCCAACCTGCACACACCACTCCATTCAGCCTCCACTCCAACCTACGCAAAACTCCATCCAGCCTTCCAACCTCCCACACATCACTTCCATCCTCAGCTGTGATTCATCTTTGCTCTCTATCTCTACTCTCCATCTCTGCTCTAAGGTAAATTTCAAATATGTGATTAATCTCATGTGAATTGTAGGAGCACTAATCTGGATCTGAATTAAAATAAATTAGTGATACAAGTTTATTAATTTATTTTGTAACAGATGCAATCACAATATTCTAGTAACATAGTCTGATAGTGGTTCTAGGATATCCTTAAACAGTAAATTTTTCACATGATCAGTTGAGGGTGAAAATCCTCTTTGAAATTATGTAACTTTGCTACAAAGTAAAAAGGATAGTAGAGAAAATGCAAGGGTCCTTATTTTAGAATGAAATCTCATTTATGGAAAGAAATGAGACATTAATAGCTATATGTTGAACAATTTAAGTATTGTAATTTATCCTGTAAGATGTTTTATTATTTTTATGGACAAATATATATCTCTTTTGTGTTATATAATATATAATATGTTAAAATTTGTGTGCTTTTATTTTATATATAATTTTTTATATTTTTTTATTCGACGTACCCGTACTTTAGTTTTTTAAAAAACGCCGGTACCTGTATCTATGCAACATAGATTGTGATTTATAGCTTGGGCATTAACACAATGTTTAGAACTGCTTTTGAATATGCTTAAAGATCATCTTAATATAGAAACTATAATTGGTAGCATTAAAACAAACATGCATTTATAATTAATTCATCTAAACACACACTAATTTTATTACTCTTTTACTTTCTCCCTCTCCAGTTTTCTTGTGGCTCCCTTATTTTCATATTCAAGTATTAAGACAAGGGAAGATCCAGAACGTACTTGTTCTTATCCTGTGGCATATTGATACTTCTTTTGGAACTTTACCAAATAAAGTACGATGTATAGTTTTAAATTACATTCTGCAACTGCAAGATTGCAGTTTGTAAGGTCTTCACAACCAAATTGTGCCAGCAATTGCAGACCTACAATATTAGGGTTTGGAAGGTCTTCACAACCACAGAGTGCCCGCAATTGCTTCCCTATATGCGTGCAATTTTCCACAAATTCAACAATTGCAACACAATTGCAACCACAACCAGAACCAAAATTTAAAGCAACGGTCTATGATGTTTTTGTTAGCTTTAGAGGCAAGGACATACGTCAAGGTTTTCTTAGCCATTTGATTGAGGCTTTTCCTAGAAAGCAATTACATGCCTTTGTAGATGATAAGCTTGAAAGAGGAGATGAAATATCATCATCACTTCTTGGAGCAATTGAAAGATCATCCATTTCTCTAATCATATTTTCAAAGGACTATGCTTCTTCGAGGTGGTGTTTGGAAGAACTTGAAAAAATTGTTGAGTGTAAAGAGAAATATGGACAAGTTGTAATACCTGTCTTTTACAATGTAGATCCCACAAATGTGAGACATCAAACAGGGAGTTATGAAAATGCACTTGTTGAACAGGAAAAATATTATAATTCAACCAAGGTGAATATTTGGAGAAGTGCTTTGAACAAATCTGCTAACTTATCAGGAATTAATTCATCAGCTTTTCGGTAAGTTTTTTTTTTTTTTTCAATAAAAGCTCTACATTTTCTTACCTTTTATTTGTTATATAGCTATATACATATTCTCAAAGGGTTAATGTTGCTCGGTATAAATCATGGATTCATGGTTGCTTAAAAACCAAAAGAGACCAACTATTACTACTACAAATTTCAGTCGATCGCACAACTATAGGATTTAGATTGAGCAACTGATGCTTGGTTGTCCCAAATTGTACTTAAGTTTTACAGATAAGGTTAAATTCATTTGCTAGTCCCTGAATAATTGGGAAGTTTTAAATATGTTCTTATACTTTAAAAGTTTGCAATTAGATCCATAGACAAGTAAATCATTTTTAATTAGTTCTAAGGGCTACAATTTCATCAAAATTAGGGGAAATGCTTGATCCTTGTTAAAGTACATGTACCTGTTTGAAAACTACCAAATAGTTTAGGGACCTAGTGATTAATTAAACTAGTGACTAATCCCTTCTAAACTATTTGAGAATTTTCAAATAACTTTCTCTACATAGAGATCGAAAATATTTTATACAGCTTTGATGGTATGCGAGCCCTTAAACCTAACTAAGAATGATTTCTAAGTTCAGGAATCATATTACAAACTTTAAAATATACAGATTTATTTTACGATTTTTAAATAATTCAAGGACTTACATTAATTTAGCCTACAATTAAATATATTTCAATTCTAAACGATACACAGAAATTATGCAATTTTTCAAAGTCATCAAGATATATTCAATAAGGCCTATTTCTTTTGGTATTTGTCCTTATTACCACACATGCACAGAATAAACTTCCAATCAAGTACGATGACAGTAATGCCATTGAATTTTGTACATTTACCCTCTCTCTCTCTCTCTCTCTCTCTCTCTCTCTCTCTCTCTCTCTCTTGTGTAGGAATGATGCCGAGCTACTTCAAGAAATTGTCAAAACCATTGATCTTCAACTGATAAGGATGGGTAAGCACCCAGTGCACTCCAAAGGACTTATAGGAATTGACAAAACTATTGTACATTTAGAATCATTGTTACGTGAAGAATCAAAACATGTTCGTGTGATTGGAATTTGGGGTATGGGTGGTATAGGTAAAACAACCATTGCAGAAGAAATCTTTAACAGAACAAATTTTGAATATGAAGGTTGTTGTTTTTTGGCAAATGTAAGGGAAGAAATAGAAAGACATGGAATAACTTCTGTGAAGACAAAACTTTTTGCTACACTCTTAACAAGTGATGTGAAAATTGACACGGCAAATGCATTGCCCACTTATGTCGAGAGAAGGATTGGTCGTAAGAAGGTTCTTATTGTTCTTGATGATTTGAATGATTCAGATCAACTAGAAAAAATAATTGGAAATTATGATCAATTTGGATCAGGTAGTAGAATCATTGTAACAACTAGAGATAAACAAGTGCTAATTGCTAACAATGTTGATGATGTATATGAGGTTAGGGTATTGAGCAACAATGATGCACTTGATCTTTTCAAATTGAAAGCCTTTAACCAAAATCATCTTGGAGTGGAGTATTATGAACTATCAAAGAGGGTGGTCAATTATGCCAAAGGCATTCCTCTAGTTCTCAAAGTTTTGGGTCATCTTCTTCGCGGAAAAGATAAGGAAGTTTGGGAAAGTCAGCTAGACAAACTTAAAAGAATTCCAAGTAAGAAAGTTCACAGTGTAATGAGATTGAGTTATGATGACTTAGATCGCGAAGAGCAAAAGATTCTTTTAGATATTGCATGTTTCTTCAGTGTAGTCAATTTGAAAGTGGACTTCATAAAAAGTTTACTAAAAGATTGTGAAAGTGATAATTCAGTGACTGCTGGGTTAGAAAGACTCAAAGACAAAGCTCTTATAACTATTTCTGAAGATAGTGTGGTATCTATGCATGATATTATCCGAGAAATGGCATGGGAAATTGTTCGCCATGAATCTAGTGATGGCCTAGGAAATCACAGTCGATTGTGGGATCCTAATGAGATTGGTGATGTTTTAAAAAATGACAAGGTAAAAATTCTTAATTAAATACAATATATTTTCATGAGTATTTGAATTTTCGGGGGGAAATGAGGTTTATAATGTTTTAACTCTCTTCTACTTTGATGATAGGGCAGCGAGGTCAATAGAAGCATAACAACGCGATTGTCAACATTGAAGAACCTGAATTTAAGACCTCATGTTTTTGCTAAGATGTGCAAACTCCTATTTTTGGATTTTCATGATGAAAAATTTTTGGATTTTCATAGAACCGATAATGCACCCTCCAGGGATCTTTTTCCACAAGGGCTTCAATCTTTGCCAAATCAACTAAGATATCTCCGTTGGATATGTTATCCTTTGAAATCCTTGCCTGAGCAATTTTCTGCTGAGAAACTTGCTATCTTAAACTTGTCACATAGCCATGTGGAAAAACTTTGGCATGGAGTGAAAGTAAATATATCATCTTAACACGTGTCTTTCTGTTTTATATTCCTCTTCATTCAAATAATGCACAATCAACAACTTAAGCTCACATGTGATTTTTTCTTTTGTTACAGAATCTGGTGAATTTAAAAGAAGTTAAACTTCATGGTTGTGAGTTCCTCCAAGAGCTTCCAGACTTTTCAAAAGCTATAAATCTAGAATTACTGGATATCAGTGGTTGTTATCAGCTGAGTAGCGTGCATCCATCTGTTTTGTCTCTGGACAAGCTTGAGAAATTGAAAATATTCAACTGCACTTCCCTTACCAAACTTTCTGGTGACACTCATTTAAGCTCCCTCAGTTGTCTCAGTCTTCGCTACTGCAAAAACCTGCAAGAATTCTCAGTGACATCAGAGAATATGAATTTACTAGATTTATCATGGACTCGCGTCAATTCATTGCCCTCGTCTTTTGGACGTCAAAGCAAGCTTGAAATTCTTGTTATAGAAGGCAGTGGCATTAAGAGCTTGCCTTCATCCATTGAGAATCTCACAAGACTGCACTATCTTGATGCACGTAGTTGTTTCAAGCTTCAAATTCTGCCAGAGCTTCCACCATCCCTTGAAACTATAAATGCTTGTAATTGCATATCACTAAAGACTGTATTGTTCCCTTCAACATCTGCTAAACAGTTCAAGGAAAACAGGAAAAGTGTTCTGTTCTGCAATTGCTTGAAATTGGATGAACAGTCTCTCACAGCAATTGGGTTAAACGCGCAAATCAACTTGATGAAATTTGCATACCAACACTTCTCTGTCTTAGATAATGATCACATAAAAAATTATGGCTTTTACAATCATAGTTATCATTACTATCAGGCTGTGTACATGTATCCAGGAAGCAGGATTCCAGAGTGGTTGGTGTACAAGACAATGGAGAAGGATCATGTAATTGTTGATCTTTCTTCTGCTTCACCTTCTCCACTGTTGGGCTTCATTTTCTGCTTCATCATTGACGAGGACTTAGACATAAAGGATCATACATTGAAGCTTAACATCAATATTAGTGATGAGAATGAAGGTAACAAGGGCAGTATTGAAATATACACTTCTCTGCCATTGAGGACGATCACATCGGATCATGTGTGTGCGTTGTATGACCGAAGATGTTCTTGCTACCTAAATAGCATAGCCAAAACTCTGTCCAAATTCAAAATCAAGGCCACAGCATGGGCTACAAGCAGGGGTGCGAAATATGATAGCACATTTAAAGGTATAGGCAGTTATAAGGAATCTAGAACTCCAAACTGGTTGGAATTAAAAGGGTTTGGGGTCAGCCCAATAACCACCTCAGCATGTAACAACTTCATTCAACAAATGGAATTGACTGATTAAATATCTCAATTTATCTTAACAAATGGAGTTGGGTTTTCCCTTCCATCGTTCTATGTATTTCCTTTTGTGCTTAAAGATGTAAAGATTTCGATTTGGAAAAAAAATCTGTTCTTTCATGTAACAATAATTGAGTTGGTAACAACATTCAAATTATCAACAAAAGTTCAAATAATTTATTAAGGTCCTACTATGTGCTTAAACATACAACTATAAGCTACAATTGCTCAAGATATACTATCATGCAAGTATACTCATAACTATCAAGGAAGATCTGTTATGCAGGTCGAAGCACTTATTAGCAAGGAAGATGACCCCAGACTAAGTGATGATATGGGAACTTTCACAAAACTACCAAATTAATATTGTTTGTCAACATTTGAAATGTGTATTCTTAGTTATGGTCTCATGTTGGTATTATCTAGATTTTGCAGGGAAATACCAAAGCAAGGGGCTCGTTCTTTCGACATCAACTTCTTTTACACATGTTGTAAACCCATGGAATTGCTGAAGCATTTGCTCTTTCCTTTGGCTCAGGTATTCTTATTCATAGCATGGGCACACCAGTTGTAAGTAAAACTTGGATTAATATTGATTCATACAATAACTCTTATCATTATTATGTTTCTTCACTTCATAACTTATTAAGGGTATACAATTGGCCAGCAAAACAAGTGCTCCCCTACCTTGGCTTATCCAACCCCATTCAACACAAAGAAAATGAAAAATAATTTTTTGATTACACAAACTAATGGCAAGAAGATGTAGGCGTCGATGAAGAAATTCTTTCTTGAAATAAATATTCAATATAATGCCATATATGCTTTATACAACTTTTCTATGTGGTGAGGTATAGGTATCATGAAAGGTCTACTAAATTGAAAAACTATTTTATCTGTTGTTCTGAACTTTTATGTAGTTGGGCTCACGAAGGTGTGATTAGGTGGTTATAATAAGCTTTTTTTTCTGTTGAAAGGTTGGAAATGCTGTTTTTTCTGAGCAACCTTGTAATAAAACATTAATTACAGGAGATTTTTTTACGAAATATCAGTGGCATGCAAGTGTTTACTAGAATAAACTGACATATTGCAACATAAAGAAAGAGTGATTTCAAATTTAAAATTACGTGTTTACTTTATGTGGATATTTTGACTAGTGTGTAGACGAAATGTGTTTGTGATGGCTACCACTCCGTTTTTAACTTCAGGAATATTTTGAATATATTTATTTCATTTTGATCTTGATAGTTGTGACACCCTATGTTGTTGCTTGTGCTAAATCTGAGATGAGGAAAATGATGAGATTTTGTTTAGGATGGAGACTGACATCAACATACTCAATTGTATGATTTTTTTTTATGAAAACTATGATAATATTGTTAAATTAAACAATTTTGAATATTGCACATGACAAAAATAAAATTATTAAGGTAAAAACAAGAATTAAAATAAAAATAATAATAATAAAAGCGAAAAGAATGAAAAATGACACTATAATCGCAAAATTGATAAATTGAAAAAATAATTGCAACAAGTAATCTTTTGATAAGCTTAAAAAAATTGACATATTAGAGAACTTAGAGTCACACACTCTCACAAATATGTTTAATCTCAAATTATATTTAAAATTAATTAAAAATATGTTTACAAAAACTTAGTTAAGTATAGAATTCATAAATCAACACTAACACAAACTCTAATGAGCTTCTTAACAAGCTCAAATTTAAATAAATTAAATAAAATAACAAATTTTTATGTTAAATAAAAATTTAAAGTAAGTTATAACCAAAATTAAAACAACTAAACTAAATATAATAATTAAATTTAAATAGAACCCATTAGAGTTTAAGTTTTCTAAACATAATAGGATAACTATTTTCTCTAGATTTTTTTTTATCCTCTGTATCTTTAATCTTATAATTAACTCTTGAAGTCTTTCCAAAACCTTCAAATTTTTGTCCTTAACATGCCTTCATTAATTTTAATCAATTTTAATTAGCCAAAGTTATTGGTTACTTGGACTTGGAAAATCCTATGACTTATAGTTAATTAGCCAGATATCAGCATATACACAGCCAGAATATAGTTAATTAGAAATGATAATTCTTCATGGGGCTGGGGTTTTATTGGCTACGTTGACGTATCACATATGGCTGTTTTTCTTTAGACCAGCATTCTACGTTTACCAATTTTTAAAATCTTGCAAAATATAAGAAATAAAAACATATTTAAGCCTAATAATAATAATAATAATAATAATAATAACTCAGAAAAATAAAAAAGTTACTACAAAGTATATAAATAAATAATTTCTCTTCATATCATAATTTTGGGCAGAAACTAGAAGTAATAAAAGCTATTGTGATAACATTTCAAACGTGGGTACGGACCATTATTCGGTCCTTCCATGCAAATGATAATTACCTGTAACGTGCTTTTATTATAAAAATTGACATTTAATTACTTTTGAATATAATTAAAATTATATTTAAGTTAACCTAATAAATTTTAACTTTTATATTAAATTAAAAAACTTATGTTGAATATTACCAACTTGCTATTGAAGTTTAAAAAAAAAAACTTAAATCACATGACTTTAAACTCTTTAATACACACTGAGGGCATGTTTGACTGCTCATTCACATACATCAAACGTGCATTGTTTTCCCTAACACTACACACATAACTTCTGCTGATCAAGCGCACATTTATTTAATGCGTATCTAGACATTCAGTAACTTTGTAAAGCACGAGTGAACAGCGTTTCTTTCTTCGTATCACGTTTGTACGAACGCAAGATGACTTTTGATTGATTGTCGGTTACATAAAAGGTGCTGCAAGCACCTGGACACAGGACTGAAGAGATTAATTAAGCTGATAGAAAACTAAAGCCACTACTAACCAATCGAAATTATAAACCAATAGCTTACTCATTATTGATATTAGATTTAGAATTAGGATTTTAGGCGTTGAAATAACAACTAATTTAAAACAAAGGCAGGTGCAATAGAGCTACAAGCTCGAAGTTCAAGGCAAGGATGGCAAGCCCTAGCCCTAAACAGAATTCCTGCTCGTTAAAGGAAGTTTTCAAAGCTAGGCATTTCAGAAACACCCTAATGCTGTATGGATTTAACAATACCGCAACGCATGTTGATTTCATGTTTCTCTAGTAAAGTGACCTTGTGAAGACGACATAGCAACTAAAACAGAAAATGTACTAATCAAAAAAGGTATAAACGAAGGTATGAAGCGAATATATGCCACAGGGTAGGTTAAGAAAAACATCAGATCGTTCTTGTATTGGGGACCACATCATTCAACTGCCCTGCACAATTACTACCTCCTTCAGATTTAAGGGTCATCAAAAAGTAAAACACATCTACAATAGCTGGATTGCGCATACCACCCGTCCACTGAAAGGTCTGAACAGGCATATCATTTTATAAGTGATTCCCAAAGAAACTGTTGATGATCCAGATCAGGCACAGAAGGCTGCAAAATTGGCCATTGCTAACCTTCACTGTTTTGTGCCACATAATATAAGATTGTTAACATTTACTATTAATCATGCCACCTCAGCAATAATGCAATGCATGCATACAAGTCGAACATTTACTTTCTCTAACCATGACATTAGTGAGTTTCGTGAAGCTACATGACATAAGTAATCTGACCAATATACCACCATAAGCAAAAGCATTATTGCAAGACATGAAACATTTTACAGAGTTTTATATATTATTGTTTTATACCAAACATGCACTTTTCATGTTGTTCTACAGATCACTACTAGAATAAGCCCTCTAAAACTGGACAATTAGAAGCCAAAGTGAGACTGAATTATTCTCAACAGTTAACACATTAATTTATGTTTTCAATTAAAAAAAAAAAAAAAACCTTATGTTTACCAATACCATAATATTATAACACAGGAGTTCCCATAGCAATTGATAGTTAAAACATGGGAGGAGAGAGAGAGAGAGATGATAATGATGATGAAACAAAAGTACCATTGTATTAATTATAAGTTTAAGTATGTTGCAGTGCAGATCTACTACTAAAGAATATAAATTTCATTCACACGTGAAAGATCTAGCTGCGAAAAACGCCTTCAAATAGAAGAGTTGTAACTGAAGTTTAATCAAGAATTTAGGATATGATTACTCACATAAATCAGCACTAAACAAATCGTCACCATTGACACAGCTAGACATTTAGACACATGCAATGTCCAAAATATAGGACACTGAAACATGGTAACATGTTCGTGTGCACATGCATGTGAAATTAAACATAAGCATTGAAAATGAAATAAGATCTAAGTTATGAATTGGGAAAACCATGATTCTTTATTTTAAGAGCCATTATTTTAATGTGTAAAACAGAATGTTGGTTGAGAAATCAAAAGAAGAGGTGAACTCTAAACTTGAGTTATGAAGGAAGCTATTGAAATCTAAGGATTTTCACTTGAGTTGAACTACAGAGTATATGCATTGCAATTTTAACAAAAAAATAAGATGAGATCCATATATTGGAAGTTAAAATTAGAAATAATATTATACCATAAGTCTCCAAGTTCAGGTGCTTGGAATCAATTCTACATAATGATAAAAAAAATAAATGAAAATACTACTCGTAGAATATAAATTGGGTGATTAGCAAAAATCAAAAGTTATTTATGACTATAAAGTACCTATCAAGATGAAAGAAAAATTTTATGTACTGCTATAAATTAGTTATCTTATATGGTAATAAATGCTAACCTTAAAAGAATAATCCAAAAAAAAAGTGAGACTAATAAAAATGATAATGTTAAGATAGATGAGTGATTATTTGAAGAAAGATAGAATAAGAAAAACTTGTATATACCAAAATATTGGAGTAAATAATGAAAAAAATGACCAAAAATTGTTTAAGATAATTTAGTTTTGTGCAAAGAAAGTCATTGGAAGCACTAGTGAAAAGAATGGATACTATGACTTTAAGTTCAATAAAAAAAGGTAAAAGAAAATCCAAAAGAACTTAAAAATGAAATTATTACAAAGAGATCTAATAATAAATAATATTTCTAAAAATTTAGTTTTTGCCCAAATTCAATGACATTGCATAATTCATATAGCTGACCTTACTAAGTGGAATAAGACTTAGTTGATGTTGGTTTTTAATGTGTAATCACTTTGTTTCTTCACAAAAAGGTCCCAATACATGAATTTTAGATATATCATTTACCTTCAATCATTTCATGTATAACCAAGACAAGAATTTTTCATTACCATTTTTACATTGTAAGTTACTTTCTAAAAGTTAATTATTTCTTTAAAAAGCAAATCTTTCTAATTTTTAGAGCAGCCTATCATGTTAAGATTCATACCTTACTTAGGTGTTGGTTAAGTGTCCAAGTAATGTTAAGTTAGCAAAACTTGCAAGTCTATTGGTTTAAGAAAATGTATTTGGCTTTCATTTCCAATTTTAACAACAAAAAGGTGATTATTCATGCCTTATTGTAAGGTATGATACTCGTCTCTCAAATTAAAAGTATAGGATTCTAGTGTGGAGTTTATAAAGCTTTTGGCTCTTCAACTACAACAGTTTTCTTTTGTGGTGTAATTCTTTCAAAGTTCTAACCAATTAACATCAAAGATTTCTACAATGTCTTTCTCTTTCAGCTGCAAACAAGTGGCATAAGCATTGCATTGTTCATCGAAGACTAGTCAAGGAATTAGTACTCAGCCAGTTTACATGAGTGCTAAGGCTGCAATGGGTGGTGAGATTTAGGATCCAATTGCAAGGTAACTTGAGCCTAACATTGAAAGTATCAGATTTCGGTATGAAGTTTATAAGGCTTTAAACTCTTCAACTACAACCACTAGCTTTTATAATGTGATTCTCCCAAGGTTCTTATCACATGTTTAGTCTCCTATTGTTACTGAGGCAAAGTATATGATAAAAGTCAAACTCCTAAAATCTTTATAGAAAGAGGGGGGGAAGATACCAAAAACTAAGGAAGATTTCAATGGCCAAAGCGACAAATAAACTGAGTTGCTAAAAGATAGTTGGACTTGGTCCCTAGAACCAGAGTTCTTTCATTGCTAGCAATTTGCAACTGGAGATTTGATGAGTAAATGCAAATGAATCAGCAAAGAGCATAACATTTATAAAGCATAGACATAAACCCTGTGCACAAGACTCAGTATTAAACACACAGACAACAAATTTCAAAATATAAGGACAACAGGTGTAAACATATATATTAAAACAAAAATGTTAACATCAATCCTTAGGACTAATTTTAAGCAACTAAAAGTGGAAAAATAAAGCATTTGCTACATTAAAAAAAAAAGTATAATAAATATTTTCTTTTTCAGTTAAAACTTGCTAACTTTAGATGCATAAGATCAACCTTAAAACTCATGTTAACAAAACCAATATTGAAAAATAGTCATTAAAAAAATGTGTAAGTTTTTTTAAGTACAAAAGCATATACCAAATATATATGAGATATATTTCCCATGCATTAAAACATTACAAAATCATTAAGTGTTAACTATCATAATTATTTATTTCATAATCCAAAGATTACTGCTTGGAGATGTCAAAGTGCTGTATCGACTAATGAGTGTTATATGAGTGAAGTCCAAGATAGCAATGGTTCTTTTCTTCAAGTGTCAATCTTTCTATATACTAGAGGAAACAAATTATCTGACCCAGAACTCAAATTGTTTAAAAACTTAAAGTCCTAAGTCCACACCAATAAATTTCAGGAAATTGCACTAGAAGTTGAAATATTCCTTAAAGTTAGAGGTCTAGCAGAAAGGTCCATCCATATGACAGTGAAACGTTTTAATTTTGTTAATGCAGTTCTGCTTGTGCAAAATTAGAAATGTAAAAGCTGCTGCCTACTATAGCAAAATAGGTATGAACTGAGACATAAACCACTTGTGCAGCATAATTGGTCTGCTCTATTTTTCTTTGGTAGATGAATTACTTATTTATTCAAGAAGTTTGCTTTAAATTGAAAAATCCTTAAACTAAAAGAATAATATTTAAAAACAAAACTCACCTCAACAAAAAAAAAAACGATCATCAGCCCTGATATAGTTATTCCGAGGCAGCAGATCTTGAAATTTTGTGTTTCAACTTCCTATTATGATTTTCCTGTTCAAAGTTGATAAAAGAAAAATCAAACATGAATTAGCCACTGCATAGAGTTAAATAACTTTCTATAAAGCGCACAAAAAATTCCAAATTACAAATTCTCAACCCTCATCACAGTTAAAGAAAACAAGCAAACTAATTCCCTCCAGATAGTGAGTGACATTCATTCATGGTGATTTTTGTTGAACAAGAAATTGTTCATCAACACCACTGAAGAATTGCAAATGTTCAGGTTGCATGACAATATTGTATAAGTACGTTTCATCAAGATGACACTCGAATGTAAAGTGACTGAACTTCGCATGTTAAATTGGCGAGAACAAAACCTACAAGTTGGTAACAGAATATTCCAAAATAAAACCAATAGTACTTTCAATCAATTACTATTCCCATTCCCCCACATTTTAACAACCACTACATTCTGATACCAACCATCATGTAATCTAATATGCAATTGTTCAACATTAACTCATTATCAATAACAACCACTACCATGCTACTACTAGTACCACTGCTACTACTACTACTACAACAAAGTAATCATAACATCATGTTATATAACGTATAACTGTTCAACATCAACAACAACTAGTTACTGGTCTACTACCACTACTACAACAACATTCTGACCACGATCACCCCGTTACATAATTAACATATAATTGTTCAACATTAACAACTAGAACAACTATAGTATCATCACCTGCTCGAGAACCTTAGCAGAACTCTTCTCCACCAAGCTAGTCAAATTCCCAATCTTAACAAGCATTTTCTGGTACAAATCCTCCAAACCCTCAGTATAATTCCTAGCCTCATAACCCATCATTCTACTCAACCTTCCAACTTCAAAACCCTCGACACACCCATCAAGCTCTCTCTGATCCTTGGACGCCTGCTTCATGCGGCTCAACCTCACATCACCACTATCATCAACCATCGGCGATCCCTGAAGCTCACAATCGAGAGCAGGGAACGGCGAATTAGGGCTGAATGAGCCATAGTGGCCGCGAAACGCGGGCCCAATGTTGACAACGTCGAGCGACTTGGGCTCGAAGGATTGAGCCCCGATTCGGAAGTGGTAAGCGCGGTACTCGTGAGTGTGCACGTGAGAGGGCACGTGAGGGGAATGTTCGAAAGGGGGTGAAGCGAGGAGAAGGAAGAGTGAAGGAGTGAAAAGAGAGGGTTGGGGTGAGTTTTGGATTTGGGAAGAGAATTGGGAGAGAGAGGAGAGAGAAGAAGTGATGGAGAATTCGCGCATGGAGGGCCGGAGAGGGGTGCGAGGCCGAGCGGAGAACCAACCGAGGAGGGAGGAGTCGTGGCCGAGGGAGGAGGGGAGGACAGTGCCGGAGGAGTCGTAGAAGGAGGGGGAGCAGAGGAAGCCGGTGATGGTGGCGAGGAGGAGGGTGGTGGTGGTGGTGGCGGCGTTGCCGGTGGATGTGTCGTCGGAGAGGGTGAGGGGGGTCACGTGGGTGACGTGGCCGAAGAGGAGGCCGTCAACGGCGGAGGACGCGGTGGAGAAGCGTTGGATGAGAGAGGCTAATGTTGGCCCCGAAATGGCGATCTTTTGCAACGGTGGGTCGTCCATGGTGGCGCACACACAGAGAGAGAGAAAGATTTGCTGCAACTTTCTGCTACAAACACAGTCTCACTGTTTTTCTTTACGAGTGTATCTCTCGAGACACAGCAAAGACAATTCAATTCTGATTTATAGTTGCTCTTTGCTTCTTTCGTGTCTCTCACTTTTCTTTCTTTATTACATTAGAGATACCACTGAGACAAAAATACTTCTTATAATAGATAATAGATAATAGATAATTTTTTTATAAATTTAAATAATTTTTAAAATCTAATTTATAAGACAAGTATTTCAAGTATTTTAAAAATAAACTAATTATATAAAATATGTTATCACTCCTAATATTTTTATCTAATTCAAGATATATTTGTCTGTAAAAAAATATTTTATATATTATTATATTTATTTATTTATTTTCTTTCATTCTGTCTGAGTGTGTTACAATTGTTTAATAAATGTTTTTAAACAAATATACATATCATTTGACACCAATTTTTACTCGGTTTAAATTTATACCATCGTTAATGAAATATTTTTTATATTTTTATATCATTAGTTACATCTTTTATGTCGTTCACCCGTTTTTTACGCAAAATGAGTGTCAACAAATAATTTTCGTTAAAGTAATTTCATCTTTGATCAATATAACAAAAGTTTAGTGTAGTTGTTTAGATATTTTTATATTATTTTTTAATCAATTTATTTTCATTAAATAATAACAATATTTAATTAACTGTCATTTAGTTAATTATGATTACCTGTTACATGAATTAGTTAAATTAGTTATTTCTTTCCTCTTTTAGTTTTTATTTTGTAGCATTTCTATAAATATTATATTATGTATCTTCTCAATACTTAAACAATAAATATACATATCTAATTTTAATTTGCAATCAAATAAGATCAGATGAATATATTTCATAATAAGTTTTATTTCAATAATCAATGAAAACATTAAAAGTTTTTTATTAAAAACTACACTAAAAATATTTTTTAAAATTATTCTTAATTTTTTTTTAAATAAATAATGTAGATGATGACTAATGAGAGTTAATATACTCTATGACTCATAAATAACTTAACTTACTATAACATGTTTTAAAAGTTATAATATTTATAATTTAATTCTTAATAAATTTTACAGGTTAAAGATTTTTAAGTATTAAATATATAAAATAGGTTTTATAAAAGTATTTTTTAAAAAATATATAATTTTTTAAAAACATAATTATAATAGTTACGAAAGTAAATTTTTTTTCTTTTTTACACAAAACTCAACTATATAATTTCAATATTAATTACTTTTATTTTTGTCTTTAAGACAGTTTAAACATTTCTTTTATATTTGTAACAACTAACTCAATAGGTTCATCAATTGTAGTTAATATTTAAGTAATAAAGGTTTGAAAGAGACTAAAATAAACAATCAAATGGAATCAAGTAAAACTCGCTTGAAATAGTGTGGTAAGGACATTCTTCAATTTCTCCTTATTTTTATTCACAAATAACATGAAACATGTTTCACAAATTTAAAAACCTAAATAACAATACTCTTTTTGGAGTATCATACTTTGAACTATGATATTTATAAATTAAACCAATTTAATTTGTAAACATCTTATAATTATCTTAATTCTCTTTGAAACAAACAACTTGGCTAGATCTGAATAAGAATAATGACTAAAGAAATGTGATTAAATGTTAAAAAAATGCAAAAAAAAAAATTTTTATAATTTTCACTTAAGTTATGTCATATTTGCTTAAGATAACTTTATACAGTGATGAACATATTGTCAATATTCACTTAAGTCATTATTTTTAACTTAAGTCAAGTCAATTTTTCTTAAATCATAATAACTTCGCTTAAGCAAAAATATAATACACAATCTTTGCTTAAGTCAGATTTTATTTACTTAAACGAATATTAAAATATCTTATGTAGTTTAAGTGAATTAATGACCGGTTAAGCAATATTCATCTAGTGAGTCATTTTTTTTCTTGAAACTTTCATTTAAAAAAGGAAAATATGGCTTAAGCAAAATTTGTAAAAATTATGCAAAAGAGATGTGACCAATGTAGAAGGAAGGTATGGGGAAGATTTAAAATGATATTGAACAATCTATCAATATAAAAGTTAATTTTTATGATGAATTGAAATTGTGAGAATGAATGTCAAAGTTTTAATTATAAAAATTATGAATTTTATACACAAGATTTGCAAAAAATCCTAAAGATCTAAAATAACTTTCAATATTCTATTAATTTAAAATTTATTTTTAACTATAAATTGAAATTGCACCAGTGTATAAATGCAAATTTTTTTAAAATCACTACCTAGATACAAGATACATACAATATTTATTTAGAAAAGATAAAAAATGACTATCAATACAATCATATGAATAAATTAAATAACAAATTTTGAAGGTCAAAAATTATTTTTTAGGTATGAATTTAAAGTTTTGAAATTATTAATTTTATGAAATTCTTTTTACATTGAAAAGTATTTTGTAGGTATTAATTTAAAATTTTATAATTAAGATTATTTTAATATATTTTAATCATGTTTAAATATAAAATAAATTATCAAAATTTAAAATAAACATGTATTATGTCTAACTCACAATTTTACTTGTCATTCTTCATAACTAGGAAGGGCCTTTAACCTTTAATACGTTTCAAATGCAAGATTTAGACATAAAATATAAATTTATTTACTGTTTAAAATTAATTTAGATTCATTTAATTACAAAACATACTTTGTTTTCATATAATAAGTATCATACGTCTTAAATTATATTTTTCATGATCGTTACATTAATTACCATAACTAACTCTCTTTATAATAAAACATTATTTTCTATCATTTTCTCATGATATCTTGTTTTTTAAAGATATGTTTAGAAGTAGTAGATTTTTAAAAACAAAATAAAATAGAGGATAAATATTTTTTTTAAAATTAATAGAATTTATAATATTTGTAGAAACAATAAAATTTTAAATATTGAATTTGTGTTGTCTATTTTTTTTTTTAAATCGATTAAATTTGATAATATTTGTTAGAAATAAAAATTGTATCCTCTTTTCTCTATCTCTCCAAAATCTTAGTCCAATTTCTTTAAAATAAAGTATTAATCCAAAACATACCCTTAATTGCTAGCTAAGAGATTGGTTTTTAACTTTTTATGTGTGTTTTAATTTTCTATCACTACTTTTCAAATGATTAATCCTAATATTACACTTAGCTTTCTACTACATAATAGATTTGACTCAACAATGGATTGTGTTATTAACTTCAGTAAAAAATGCTATCAACATATTACTTTTAACATATTTTTAGTTATTGTCTGAAACTTATTAAAAATTATCAAAATATAGAAAAGAACATTAAATTAGAAGTGAGAAAAAAATGAAACTCACATTATTTTGATAATTTTTAATAAATTTTAATAAATAACTAAGAATGCATTACTAATAAATTTTCTTGCTGTAAATCTGGAATTTCTTTAAATATATTTTTCAAATATTAATTATTCTTTATTCACACTTGATTTTAGTTAAGAATATTCCAATTTGTCAATAGAAAAAACTGCTAAGATATGAAGCCAAATATTCTCTGTTAAAGAGACCAAATTATACCATATCGCAACATATTCATGTATCTCAAACAACCGATTAAAGTGGAGAATAGCTCACTTTTTGAGTGTAAAGTGGGTGAAAGGAAGAGAAAGATAAGAAAAAAGAGAAGACAGAAAAAATGAAAAATATTATTGATAAATGCAATGAAAAAGAAGAAGAAAAAGAAGATGAGAGTAAAATCAAGAAAAAGAGGTACAGAAATATAAGAAAATTCAACTTCAAGAAATTAGACAGGACATCTTGATGAAGCTACATATAAAGAATCAAAAATTTAAATTTACAGCAGTCGTACAGCTGTAAATTTAACTTTTTTATATCATGTTAATGCATTGTAAGCTTAAGGGGAAAAACACAAATACAGTATAATCTTTTCCTCTTTTACTCCACTTGAAGAAGAAGCCATGCATGGAAAATACCGTTGAATCAAGTGAAAACAGAAGCATAATCATAATTTCATCAGGTTTACTATCAAACTAAACAAATATTGAAAACATACATTATTTCCCCTAGTTAAAAAGAATACTTAGTGTAAACAAATCCTCACTCGTCTATATACATAAACTTAATAAACAAATAAATAAAGAATAATATATATATCCTTTCTCAAGTAATTAAAATATCCTTCCTTAACACACTATAAAAAAAAAACCCTTTATTCAGTTGTTTGGACCTTAGTTCCATCATCATCCCCTGCAGCTAAGTCTGGTTTAATCTCCTCCAACTGCTGGAGAACTTGCTGAACTTCTGGCCTAGCAGCTGGAGATGGATCCACACAATGCAAAGCTAACTTCAATGTATTAAGCAACTCATCCCCTATGGTTGGTGCATCTCTCATGAGTTCCAAATCAAACACTTCATTGGTCCACTCTTCCTTCACTATGGATGCCACCCACTGAGGCAAGTCCATCCCATTGGTTGGCTCACCAGGTGGTTTACCAGTTAGCAGCTCCAACATGATGACACCAAGACTATAAACATCAGTCTTTGTGTTAGGCTTCTTAGCCTTTGAAAGCTCTGGTGCATTGTAGCCAAGGCTTCCTGCAGTTGCAATGATGTTGGTGTTGGCAGAAGTTGTCATTAGCCTTGAAAGACCAAAATCTGTTATATGGGCATTTGTTTGCTCATCCAATAGTATATTGCTAGATGTAAGATTTCCATGTACAATGTTCTCTTGGTTATGGAGGTAGCACAGACCATGGGTGACTCCAATTGCAATTTTCATCCTTGTTGGCCATTCAATTACAATTTCAGGCCCACGAGCTGCATATATTCAATATATCATATATCTGTATCATAAGCAACTACACAACACACACTGAGAGGTAAAATCTTTCAATGAAGGAGTGATGCATATATTAGAAATATTACATAATATCAGTATCAAAAGAACTGACACAATCACACAACACATACTACAACAACAAAGCTTTATCCTTCAATGGATCATTATATCGCGCCACAAGACTAGGTCAGAAACCAAATTAATTGACACAACACATTTTGAGAAACAATCTTTACTCGAGAGATATTCTAATTACTGTTAGTTCTTCCTCTGGAAGAATGATGCATATATTAAAAATATCACGTAATATCAGTATCACAAGAATTGAAACAACACATTAAGAGATTAAAAAAAATATTTTCTCAAAAAGATATTCTAATTACTGTTTAGTACTTACAACGAAGTAATGATGCATGTGTTAGAAATATCACATAATATCAATATCAGAAGAATTGACACAACACATTAGGAGATAAAATCTTAACTCATATTACTGCTAAGTACTTACCATGAAGGAATGATGCTAGGCTTCCTTTGGTCATGTAATCAAAGACAAGAAGCTTCTCTCCTTTTGGTCCTAAATAGTAGGCTCTAAGGGCTAAGAGATTTGGGTGTCTGATTTTGCCAAGTGCAGCAACCTCAGTTTCAAACTCCTTCTGCCCTTTAGTAGTCTTCTCCCTCAGCCTTTTCACAGCAACCTGGTTCCCATCCTCCAGTGTTGCCTTGTATGCAGTTCCATATGCACTTTTTCCCATTATCTCCGCAGTTGCGCACAAAAGATCATCAGCAGTAAACACAAAGGGCCCATCAAAGTGAACTAGCTTTCCACCAGCTTCACCTCCTGATTCAGCAACTTCACCACCAGCTGAGGCACCTTTCTCAACACTCCTAGCAGATGCTGCAGCCTTAGCAGTCTTGCCACTCTTTCGGCTTGAAGCAGCTCTTTTCCTGATCAAACAACATAGCAAAAAGCAGCATAGTAGTAACAAAATTAGCAAGAGAACACCTGCTACTATGAGGATTATGTCCTTGGTGCTTAATTTATGGTGACTTGGCTTGGAAGGAGGCTGTGGTGATTGAGCTGGAAGATTATGTGGTGGGGGTGAAGGGCATGGCTTTGAACTGATGTACCCACATAGCTCAAAATTCCCTGCAAAAGAGCTAGCACTGAATTTTTTGGAAAGTATAGATGGGACAAGACCAGATAGATTGTTGTAAGAGACATTGAATGAACTGAGATTAGCAAGTTTGGTGAGGGAATCTGGAATTTCTCCATCTAATTTATTTTCAGAGAAATCAATTTGGCTAATGCTTGAGATGTTCCCAATTGTAGATGGGATTTGGCCATCAAGCTTATTGTTCTTCAGGTTAATCACAGAAAGGTTGTGTAACCTGTCCAAAGAATCTGGAATATGGTTTTCAAGTTGATTGCTCTCCAGATTCAATGAAATAAGAGAAGAGAGGTTAGAGAAGCTAGCAGGAAAGCTACCATTGATGGCATTGTTTGATAGATCAAGAACTTGAAGCCTGGAAAGTGCACCTAGTTCGCTTGGAATATGCCCAACAATCTGGTTATGACTCAAAGAAACGTTTTCAAGTAAAGCTAGCTTGCTTAGAGAAACTGGAATTTTTCCAGAAATGAGATTGTGATCAAGGGTCAAAACTTGAAGTTGAGCAGAATTTTTCTTTCCCATTCCACCCCAAGAATCTGGAATAGAACCAGAGAGATTGTTGTGTTGAAGGGCAAGAATGGTTAGAGAAGAAGACATGGTGAAACTGCTAGGAATGGATCCAGAAAGTGAGTTGAAGCTCAAATTGATCCTAAATATCCTAGTGGAGTTAGCTAAACTAGGAGGGATTTTACCAGTGAGGAAATTATTGCTAACATCAAAGGACTGAAGCATTGGACAATTGCCAAGGGAAGGAGGAATAGAACCTGAAAGCCTGTTATTGAAGAGATAAACTCCTCTGAGGTTAGGAAGAAAGCCAAGTGACCAAGGGACAGGACCAGCAATAGCATTGTCATGGAGACTAAGCTTCCTAAGAGCTTGAAGTTGGCCAATTTTCTCAGAAATGCGGCCACCTAACCCTCTCCAAGGAAGCTGAATTGCTATAACCTCTCCATTCACACACTTGATTCCTGCCCACCCACCTGAACAAGCACCTAAACCACTATCATTCCAACTCCTCAGAACCCCTTTGAAGTCAATCAGCTCATGCTTAATAGCCCTCAGAGATTGGTAATCAGCTTGAGTAACAACCACTCCATCCCACAAGTGGCCTGAAACAGGTTGAATGGTGGAAGCCAAAGCTTGCAAAAGAAAGAGTAAAAAGGCTAAGCAAATGAAACCACCTTTGTGATTACTCCTCCATTCCTTCCTTTCATCACCATTTGAAGAGAACAAAAGCTGAAGTGGATTTGTGTTGAAATCTTTGACATGACATCCATTATTTCCCATGAATCTCTTAAGTTGTAGGAAGTGGAAACTTTGGAAAAACAACGGCTAAGCAAAAAGAAACAAACAGGTTCCACTTGTACACTACCCTCTCTATGTTTATTATGTGTGTGTTTCTACAGTCTCTCACTTCTCAAGCTTAGCTCAGATAGTAGTACAATGAAGAACAATGAGGAGGATCTAAATAACACAAGAAAGTGTAGAATGAAAAGTAAAGGACTATGATTCTGAAAAGGGCATGTGAGTGAAGAAAGCTGGTGGGGTTGAAGGTATTGTGAAGAGAGAGAGATAAATGAAATGGGTAAGGAGAATGGGTCAAAGTTCACAATTTTCTTAATCCTAACGGCTAGTTTTACTTCATAGTCTAACATTATCATAACTGCTACATAACGGGTTGGGTTGGGACATTAGAAGACCGTGCATGAGAGCACCAAGCAGAGATGAGGTTTGGTCTTCCAACGGCTACATTGCATTGGATTTGGTTTTGGATGCATATATGTTTTTGAGGGACCCATTTCCACGTTTTGCTTCCTCAATGTGACTTGGTCATCATCAACATTATTATAGTATAAGAAAACATGAGTGTGCCACGAGGGACAAAAAATTTGGGTCGCCTAAACTACCCTTTGATTATAAAACTTGTGATGCATTTCGTTTGGGCAAAAGTGGCAATTCATTAGCCTTTCGCTTTTTTCTTTTGCTTTTTCATTATCTTTCTGGTGATGAGTTGAGGCATCATGCATTTGTACTGCGCGTAGGGACATTAATGTGACACGGATTGCCTACCTGTCCTTAACTTCTTTTTTTTCGGATTTTGATAATGGTAACTAATAGTATAATTTTATTAAAAAAATTCTTAAATTATAATTACAAAAAAGTGATGAATATTTTTTAATAAAATTTTATTGTTATTAATTATTTAAACTCAATCTTTAAAATTAAGGTTAACAAATTCTTTTTATTAATGTAAGCCTTTGACTTTAACTTTAAGTCATTAAAATTTTCAAAATATTTATATATTTTAATATAAAAATGACAAATTTTTTTCTTAAACTAGAAGTATCATTTACAAAAGATACCGTTGTCTTGGTTAAAATAATTTATAACGTAATAAAGTAATTCTTTTAAAACAAAATTAGAACATAAGATTTTATTATTCTTCAAATGACAGATTTAATTTTAAAAAAAATGAAATTCAAATCTAATATATAAAAAATAAATCTATTTTGAAAAGACTAATTCTATCATTCTGTAAATGTTGTCAACCCAATTAAAATTACTTACCATGAAAGATGCTTGAAGAAGTCTAGACAGAAAACATATAATATATTATATACTCCCTTCAATTTTTTATAAAAAATAAAAACTAAATTACTATAAAATAATTAATATATTTTAAATTTTTTCTACTAAAAAATACTTATTTTATTTTTTTATATAAATGACGGCAAGAAATACAATAAAGGAACTGTTTGTTGCCCCCATGAAACTTTGATAATTGGTGGAATGCATTATTAGCCTAAAAAAAGTGAAACATAAAACAAAAAGAGTTGTGAATTTGTATTACTTTGGGGCAAAAAAATATTCAGCTGTCACTGTCATTAGGAAACTATGGTGAATGACCCCATTATGTTTCAACCATTTTTACGTTACATTTTGGAACAACATGCCCAAGAAGTGAACCCCAAGAAATTGAAAAATCAGAGGATTAAGGATTAAGGCATTTGTGTTCAACTTTTTGAACAACAAACTATAAATTGAAATGTTAAAAACAAGATAGGGATAATAGTTATAAACTAATAATATGAATTCAGCCTTACATTAAATTTATTTTTGTCTTTTAACAATTGTGATAATTTTAATTATTTTACTAGTCTTCTTTTTGATAAAAAAAAAATGTAGGAGGAGAATTGTGTAATTTCAATATTCATTTTAAGTTTCATAACAATGAAAAATTTAGATAGACAAAACTGTCTCATAACTGATCAAGATTCTTTCCCGCAGAAACTTAAATAAAAAATCTTGATGTAAATATATATAAATTATCAAATTAAATTAAGTAACAACAATTTTAATCATGAATAAATTAATTAAAAGTTGATTGATTTTATAATAACAAAGAACATTTTTCATGTGATCCTTTTAAAAAAAATACATCATCAACTCTTAATGGGTAAGTCTATGTTCTTCAATTATTGAGCTAGAAAATTTCCCCAATTCATTGTGCAAGAATGAGGTGAAAAAAACAGTTTTTTCTGCAAATTATTAAAACTTGTCTGCTTCGAAGATGAATACTTGAATAGTTGTGATTATCTTCGACCATGTTTATTCTTTAATTTAGACTCAGTCTTAATACTTGTAAAAAAAATTGGCCATCTGCATTTTCTTTCTTAATCCCAAGATACCCTCAATGGTAAAACATTAATTTTTACTAGCATTTTTCTATTAAAAATGTTTTAAAAAAAATACAATGACACTCATTTTTTAAAATATAAAAATTGGCAGTCACTTATATTAGTTTTTTGCACAATGAAGAAAAAATCCCAGTATGATATTACATTAAACTTGTGGTTTAATTTTTTTTATATATATGAGATTTAATATATATATATATATATATATATAATATTATTTTTAAAATCACTGACAAAGTTTTTTAAAAATTATAAAAAATAAAAATAGTTGACCATTATCTTTTAAAAATTAATAAAAATATTTAAAAATAAAAAATTCCTGTATTTTTTAAAAAATAATTTAAAAATTTAAAATACTAAAAAAATATCATTTGAGGGTTTTTGAAAAAAAATTATATTTTTATAATTTTTTTGGCAAACATCATATTCTAGTAATTTTTTTCATATAATAAAAAAATAACCGTAAATTTGTTCTAAGTTAACAATACTTTTAAAATTGCATATATATTACGTCATAAATTGATTGCTTGGGTATAAACGTGGAGGAGCATGCTGGATTTTCCAAAGACTGAGGTGGTGAAGTTCGATGCTGAACCATAGAAAGAATCCCTTCCCTTTTGAAGATTTTAATTCACTATTTTACTATTCAAACACTGTGACATTCAAAAGTTATCAAATATGCCATTCATTATCAATTTTATTTATAACCCTTTTTGTTCTTTGTTTTGCAAACGAAAATATCAAAATCAAGGTTAAAACAGGGACATGCACGACATATTAAATGTATTTTATGGTAGAATTTTATTTTTCTTTTATCAAAATTGATTTCGTAAACTTCTCACATTTTTCCATAAAAAAATAACTTAAATTTATCATTAGCATCTATAATGTTAATAAGTATTGAGCAATTTCTTCTTTATCTTAGAATTTATTTGTTTCACCGGTTCCTTAACGTCAACGGACATTTTTTTTTTAGGGTTATTTATTTTTCCTTCCTTTTTAGAAAGTGAGATTCATTTCATTTTACTAAAATAATGTAAGACTTAAAATATGTACCAAAATAATAAAAATAAAAAATATTTTATCAATTTACAGTTCTTTTTGACACATAACAATTGTATTGCACAATTTTAACTATAAAAGAAATTCACAAGATATTATGTGTGTTGTATATTATAAATAGATTTTTCTTTTTTAAAAGTAATAAAATGTGTAAAATAATAAAGTAATAATTTATATACAGCTAATTAAAATTTAATTGTATTTATAAAATATTTGAATTTAAATCAATAATAAATAAGTCATAATTTTTTAACTTTATGAAAGACATTCCATTGTAAACTAGCTGAACATTAAAATATAAAAGGTAAAATTTAAGTATACCTTCTTAAATATTTTGTGTTGATTGTTGGTAACATGTATAATAAAAGTTGACACTAATTATTAAAGTAAAATTTTAATTAAAAATAATTTTAATTTGTTTTACAATTAAATTTTAAATTTTATTCATAAAAAGTTAAGAATGTTTCTATTGATAAGAAATTTAATAATACAATTACTAAATAGATCTGCTAAATAAATTGTTAGCATAGAAAAGAAAATTCTCTATACAAGAAAAATAAATACTAGAAAACTAATAAAATAAACATACAACAATAGATATCACTGCCAACTAACTATGTAATAACGTAGTTTATAAGCTAAATTGCATAAGTTGTCGCATGTCTCAAAATTGTGTGTTTTCACATTATGAAGTAACTCGACGTTGAAAAATGAAATTGTAGAAATTGTCATGTGTCACGATGTTGTGGGTTGACACCAGAACTAACTTAACATTAAAAAATGAAGATTTAATTATAGTTTTTATTCCCGTAAAATTAGCATATTTTACAATAAATATCAATAAAAATTTGTTCTTAAGAAGTTAAAGATTTATTCTGTTTGTTAAGTGTTAAATTGAAAGTAACATGCCATATTATTCTTTTAAAATTTTATAAATAAAATTTTAAACATATTTTTTATAATTATATAAAAAATTTAACTATTTTCTTTTTTATTCTTGCACTTCTTCTTTTTTTCCTTTCACCACCACAGTTTTAATTTCATTCTTCCCTCTTTTTTCTCCTTCTACTTCCATCATTCTTCCTCCCGTTTTTCACATCTTTTTTTGACACTCTTTTCCCCTCTTCTTCTCCCTCCCGGCCAACTCTACCCGCACCTCCAACCCCTCTTCTTGTCTCAACCCAATCTCAACTCCTCTCCCTCCTCCAACCAACCCTCACCCAAATCTTCTCCCTCTCCTCACTCAAACCCACTTTGCAACTCTAACTCCTTAGTAAAATATTGAAAATTACAAGTTTTCTTTTCCTAATTGTTAGCGACCCATTTTCTTTTAGTTCCTATCTTTAAGGAACATAAAAATATGAATATAATATGATTCATATTTCCATTAACAACATTCAATTTTTATTTTATGTGGAGGTTGCCTCTGTTAATTTTTGAATTGGCTTTATAATGGGCAAAGCCCTATAAATATTTCACACTCTCATGGTTTAGGTCACCAGAATCCGCTCCTCTTTTAGAACAATACACACCATCGTGATTGAGTGAGTGAGGATTTGGAAAGACCGAAAACTTCGATCGCGAATCAACTTGCAATGACTAGATTTTAGTATTAATCAATCCATTCTTCGCTTCCGCATAGCTTTGATAGCTTTTTACATTTGGTATTAGAGCTCCATATACCTCTGCCTTGCTTGTTTTGCATATTCGAAATTTTGTTTTGGACATGGATGTTGTGTGTTTGACCCTTTTTATCAAAATCGAATATGAAAAATCATTTTCTATGTTTTCTGAATCTAAAAAAATCTTTTTTTTCACATTTAATGGAGACTGGAAATGTTAAAATTTTAAAATCGGGTGCGCAGGTCGTAACCGGGTCAAGCCGATCTGGCTGGAGGTTGAAGACAACAAAAAAAAAAAGCAAGCTTATTTGTCTTTTTTTTTTTGCGTGTTTTCTGAGTTTCTAAATAT